ATTCCCCAGCCAGCTGGCTGGGGAATTCTGGGAGTTGAAGGCTACCCATCTTAAAGTTGCTGAGGTTGAGGAACCCTGCTTTAATGGATATCAAGAGTCAGATTTACTAAAGTCTGATTTTGCTGGACTGAAATTCTGAAGCTTCCCTTACACAGTATGATAGTGAGCAAAAGTAAAGTATGACAGGAAATCCTTTCTTTTAAAAAAAACATTTTTACTCCCAGACCTTTTAGCTATTTTTAACTGTTTTGAAATAAATGGGTACATTTTCCTTCTCTTCACTTGCCACCAATGGAAGTAGATCAATAGTTTTGTTGATATCTTTCAGATATTTTTCAGATATTTTTGATTACCATTTCTGTACTCCCTACCGCTAGCCATCTTGCCTGAGACTATGGATAGCGCAATGGAGCAAGATGAAGGTTAGATGGGTTATGTATGTATGTATGTATGTATGTAGGTAGGTAGGTAGGTAGGTATGTAGGTATGCTTGTTTTTTTGTGTTTTTTCATACTTTTTCATTGTAAACCACCCAGGGTTGTTGTCAGGCAGCCTTTAAATTGTACAAATAAAGCATAAAATAAAATAAACAGCCAAGGAGCACAGACCTAGCTTGACTGAGACCGATAATGATCAGAATGAAAAACAAACAACTGCTGTTCAATCAGCCAGCCAATCAACACAAACCAACTGATTTAGGCAGGAGTGCTTTGAGAAGGTTTAAATACTATTTAAGAGTAACAGGGAACATGATATCCTTGTCACTACAGCATTGTAAAGCAAGAAGCACCACCTCCTGCCTCTGCATTTATTGAAAGTAAGGCCCTGCCTTTTTAAAGCCAGCTCTGGCCTTCTACTGGTGCCAGTTTCAGGGTATAGAAAGGCATATTCAACTTTAGCAATCTATGAGCGCCTGCAGCTGCTAAGAACCCCTTACCGGTCTGAAGAGGACCACATTTCTCCGCTGAGGCAACATTCTTCCAACCTACTTACTAGGGGGTGAAACACCACTGGATAGAGTGAGACTTACTGCTTGGTAGAACATGCACAAGACTGCACTGCTAGTTTTCCTGATATAAATACTGTGCAGAAGTCCTGCATCATGGGTGCAGAAGTATATCAAAAGCAAAATCTATCAAGGATGATCAGTTAAGGGCATGAGTGATGAAGAGCATTTAGGAACCCCCAGTGCAAATGCTCAAACAATTCAGCAAATACAATGAAAATACAATTAGCTTTAAAATTTGGAAAAATGGAAACTCGCAATTCATGTACTGTAATAGCCTTTTTTTTTAAAGTGGTTTTTTAAAGGCTTTAAACTGGGGTTTTTTAAGGCATTAGAATCATTTAAAAAAACCAAGGCAAGCTGTATATACACAGGAAAATATGCTGTATGGTATTAAGAAATAAAGAAGGGAAGATTATTTGGAATGGCACTTCCAGGAAAATATCCAAGTCAAACGCGGATAAACTGTAAAGGCATCTGATGTAGCGCTAGAACAAGGACGCTAAAATGAGAAGAGTTTTCAGCTGCCCCCTTACATCCTAAAAGGCCTGGGGAACCCAGAAAGACTGGGGCTGGGGCTGGGGCTGCTAAATCAAGCAGAGACAGGTCTATATAAAGGGGAGCTGCATTTCTACCACACGGCACAGGCTTCCTCTGGATCCCCAAACCATTAGGAGAAGCATGCAGGGAGAACAGATCTGAGATCCTCCCCTTGGCAATTATTCTTGTATTTGGATATTTTATTTTATGTTTTCATTCATTCAGTTTGCATAGCCTCCCATCTCACATTTGTGACTCTGGGCGGCTCACACAATTAAAAACAACCCAATAACACAACCAATAAACAAAATCCAAAAATCAGTAAAAACACAATAACAATAACCCCTTCGTTCCCCCATTAAACTCTCCAAATGTAATAACTACCTTGGAAGAATGCAGGTTTGTGTACTTCTTCACTAAGATTTGCTTCAACTTAATAGCTGTGCCACTCTTTCCCATAAACCTGTTGTTCTCCCATATACAGTGGTACCTCGAGTTACGAACGCCTCTGTTAACGAACTTTTCGGATTACGACCAGCTCCGGCCGCAAAAATTTACCTCAGTTTGCGAACTCCGCCTCGGGGTACGAACAGGATATGCGGCCATTTTCCCTCCTGGGACATGGTCCGCGGCCATTTTCCGCCCCTGACCTGCGGTCCGCAGCCATTTTCCGCCCCTGACCTGCGGTCCGCAGCCATTTTCCGCCCCTGACCTGCGGTCCGCAGCCATTTTCCGCCCCTGACCTGCGGTCCGCAGCCATTTTCCGCCCCTGACACGTGGTCCGCGGCCATTTTCCCTCCTGTGACATGGTCCGCGGCCATTTTTCTGCCCCTGACACGTGGTCTGCGGCCATTTTTCCGCCCCTGATATGTGGTCCGCAGCCATTTTCCGCCCCTGACACGTGGTCCGTGGCCATTTTTCCGCCCCTGACACGTGGTCCCCGGCCTTTTTCCGCCCCTGACACGTGGTCCACGGCCATTTTCCCCCCCCTGACACGTGGTCCGTGGCCATTTTTCCGCCCCTGACACGTGGTCCCCGGCCTTTTTCCGCCCCTGACACGTGGTCCACGGCCATTTTCCCCCCCCTGACACGTGGTCCGTGGCCATTTTTCCGCCCCTGACACGTGGTCCCCGGCCTTTTTCCGCCCCTGACACGTGGTCCACGGCCATTTTCCCCCCCCTGACACGTGGTCCGTGGCCATTTTTCCGCCCCTGACACGTGGTCTGCGGCCATTTTTCCGCCCCTGATATGTGGTCCGCAGCCATTTTCCGCCCCTGACACGTGGTTGTAGGGAGGGGGACTCTCCCTCCAAGCAATAGCCGCCTCCCTGTCCTCCACGCCAGAACGGATTAACGGTAATTACATTGAACCTTATGGGGAAATTTGCTTCGGGTTGCGACCAATTCGGGGTGCGACCAGAGTCACAGAATGAATTAAGTTTGTAAACCGAGGTTCCACTGTACTTCTTGCACACTAGATATGCACAGACAACAGGACTGGGAGAAAATAAGGGGGAGGAGAGAGGCCACTTCCTTTGATCCAATATCTTTGGATACCAAGGTTGCATGCAGACATACATAGAAATATCAAAGCATTTAACAAGCAACAATGGAATACACTGCCATGGAAAGTGAGAGATTTTCCTTCATGAGGAGTTTTTAAGCAAACTCAGGATGCTAAATTAAGACCCTTCAATGCCACACCATTTTCACTTCCCAAATCATCAGAGGCAGTTTCAAGCCGACTTGCAATTGTTCTCACTACTGCCGAAGCCAGAAAGCAACAAAGACCAAACACTCACAAGCTCTGCCCCCTGGTGCTGTGGGTCCTGCTGCTAAACAAGTCTGTCAAGTCCGCTCCATAGAAAAGAGAAATGCATACATTTGTTTGGCCACATGAAAGGAATCTGGTCAGGGCTGCTGCAGGGCTGGCCAGCCACCTTTCCCAGAAGAGGATCCTGGACCTGCAAGGGAACATGAGCAGCAGCTCCCTCCCAGAGGAATTGGGCTGCCACAGGCTTCACTGGGTTGCAGAGTTTCAAAGAGTTTTGAAAGAAAATACTAGCTTTGTTGCAAGTTCAGCTCCATCGTGGTACAGCTAGAAATATATGGAAGTCGATAATCACTGCAGAAAACCGTGCCTTGAAGCACTGGAAGAAATGCCTCCCAAACCTTATATGCTGTGCAATATAGTCACACTTAAAAACAATCTTAAAGCTATATCCCAAAATACAATAATCAGGTTTTCACAAAACTTGAGGTGCTTGTCATAAAAAAAAATGGAAGAGGGAAAAACAGACAGAGTGCTAGGAAGCAGAAGCAGTCCCTGTCTTTGACTACGGATTGTCATGTGTACGATCCCTTTGGTTCTGAGCCCTCTTCTTCATTCCCTATGGTCACCAACAAAGTCTCTATTGCAATAGGGACCAGACATCTACCTGGTTAAAAATGAATTGAATTTAAAATACTTCATATTCCAGCACTTCCACTACACAAGGTTTCCTATTGCGTGGAATGCACAGTGGAAACACACAGAGTGTACCCTGCTCAGTTGAAAATTGCTCCCATAAGCCTGCAGTTCATGGCTTTTTAACATCAACATTAATTCCTGATGGTTGGTAGACCCCAGGGCAACAGTAGATGTGGTGCATGCTGCTATAAGGATTTGTGTTCATGCAACATGATGGCCAAAATGAAGAGAGTGGAGGGTCTTCTCATTCCTTCAGGTTTCTCAGGAGCGAGCTTTACCTTGGCAAGGGACCAAGGAGGGCTTCATGTCTGGGAATCAACCCAAAGTTTAAAGAGCAATGCAGCAAGGGACAGATTTTCTCATGGTTCCTCAACACTTCGCTCAGATGTTTTACTTCATCTGTCAGCTTTCCAATCTCTCTTTTTAGAGAAGTATTCTCTTGTTCAAGGCACTCATATTCCTGAAATAATTGATAAAAATAAACAAATCAAGCATGCAAACAAGCAATCCATGATCCATGAAAGTAGATTTTTCCAAAACTACTTCTCTTCATGAAGTGTTTAAATTCTCAAAAAGGAAATAAAGAAACACAAGAAAAAAGAAAATGAAAAAAAATGATACAATTATCTGAAAAATCTACTTCCTTTGAAAGATACATAGAGCCTAATTTACTTTCTTTCCACTCTGGTTTAGTTGAGCGAGTAAGACATTTTTGTTCCACCAGGCTTTTTGTGTATTTCTATTTTACCTACTTAAAGTATAGTTTATCTGTATTGTTCTATTTAAATTATTTCTAAATCAAATTACCATTAAACTAATCCCTAAGTGGCAGTGTACCAAGCAGAATAGAGCAAATCTTACAGCAAATCATTTTTTTCCAATAAAACCATTACTCTTAACATCATCTGTATAATAAATATTAATAAAAACAACAGAACTCCCCTATCAGGGGAAGACCTGAGCAAAGACAAATGTCTTTAACTGTCCTCGAAAGTGGAATGTGTGGTTGGGACTGCACAGTCCAAAAGGGATGAGTCTAGCTGGGAAAGTTTCTTTATTGATCAGCACCTGGAGAATGGGCTGCCATCAAGGAGATCTCTCTTCATGACCTTTAACATCCCACAAAAGGGTTAGCTTTGGCTGTTCTTTTCAACTGCACTTACATTTTATCACTGTAAACAAGGAGTGCAAAATCTGAGACTCCAGATCTCATATTGCTTGCTCCCTCCCCCCATTCAGCTGTAAAAATTGCCATCCAGTTGTAATTTTTAATTCAATCATGGTGGAAATCACAAAATATATGGGGAGCGATTATACAGTTCTTAATTAAACTAACTTGCTTTTAATTACATTTAAACATAGATTAAATTAAATCAAGTTTTGCTTTTGTTTTGTTCTCTATCTTTGGCGGGGAGCTCTTGGCCATTGGATTAAAACATTGTGGTGCGCCCTGATGTAAACCGCCAAGGGCAATTTTAAAACTCTTTTAAAACTCAAGCTGTAAAACTCAGGAATGGGTGATTTTGTGAGAAATGCCAAATGGATATTTGATATTCTCAGTCCAAAACATTTGTGAATCCAGTCATGAAGGAGGCTCTAAGGAGGCTGCCGACGCATCATTAAAAAAGAAATGCAGCACAAAAGAAAAGAGGACATAGATTTTTTTTCTTTTCAATTGAAAAGAAAGCATGCACCAATTTACATATAGATATGGATACTCAAATGACAGTACTTTAAAGAAACAAGGGAAAGATTGTAGCCCATCATCTTCAGAGAAAGGAGTATTTCTGTGAAAATTATCTCTTGGCCATCAAATGTGGGTTTACTTCAATGTTTGGCTGATGGGGGGCTACAGATCAGGGAAAGCAGAAGGTAAATCTACTGGTGGAACACTGAATACTGAAGCCCTTGGATCAGCAAGAATTCCTGATCCCCAGTTCTTTAAGAATAACAGCAACTAGATGTCTCTCTCCCTTCTCACAAATTATTCTGATGAAACGAAACAAATGTGGGGCTAACTCAGAAAGGATATATGTGTTTCCAAACTGACAGCCCCTAGTGCTGCCCAAGGGTATCATGCTGTTATTCTTCCTTTCCCTAACTTTTTTTCTTTCCTGATAAGCAAAAATATGGATGAACTGGAAGGAAAAGAGAGAATTCCAAATCACAGATGTGGATTCACACACCTTGCTAAACCATGATCTACTTAGGCCTGGTTTATAGCAAGTGAGTGTAACTTGTCAGGCCAAGGCTGCAGACATCTTTGAGAGACACTTGGGGACCACCTTCAGAAGCAGGTGGGGCTGGATGAAAAAACTGGTCAGAGCCACTGAACACTGTCTTCAGTTTTTAATCATTCCAAACATGCATATGTGAACATGCACACACAGATGCATATACTTGGGGATTGAGGGTACTGGGGAAGTAGGACAGCAGAAGCAGAAATGTAGCTTAGAGCTTTTGGAGCAGCAGCAAGTTGGTGGTCTGGAAGAAAGCCAGTGAGACATTACAGGCCATGCCTGGAAACCTGCCAGGCCATCATGATCTGGAGTTGTTCACCTACAGTTTACTGAGTAATCCACAAGTGGTCGAATTTGCTCAATCTCCTGATCCATAAAGGGTGGATTACAAATCACAGTGGGAGGATCTGCATGCCATGGCAAGCCAAAGCCAATCACACCAAAACCTGTCTATTTTCATTTGGAAATGCCTAAAAAGGACCCAGTGATCTGATGACCAAAGCCCCCTCAGAGCTCCATTGAATGAGCTCAGGGCTCTTGCATGGGAAGGGCAGGCCTTTGGTACCAGACTTCTGGCGAAAAGAGAAGTTGCTCCTACAAACATCAAATCTCTCTGTGCCTGTCTTTGCTGCCAACTTCAACCGAAGCATGAATGAGAAACTATTTTTGAACCCCAACAAAATAAAGAAAGCGAGACTCAGAAAAGAATTGCTTTACAAGGCAAATGTACAGCAAGTGGGTAGTTTCTCCCTTGATTTGAATGTGGCTAAAAAAGAAATGTACCAATGTCCTTAACAAAAAAGAAAACAACAAAAGTCATAGTGCTCAGCCACTGTGACCAATATATTCATTAACTGCCTTATGGAGTCCACGAATAGATGAATAATGTGCTTTCTTCCACAGAAAGGACATGTTGGACTCTGGTCCTCCACCCTTGTTCATCATTTTACTCAGTTATATTCATGATTGCTCATATGAAAGCTCTGAAGCACTGATAACAGTCTCAGTCTTGGTCAACACCCTTGCTATTCTACATTCTATTCTTCGGAAGCCAGCTTATAATCATCAATTGTTCAATTGGGAAGGAGAGCATGAAAAAATACTGCAATGTATCTTAAAGAAAAACAAGAGAGGGGAGAGAAAGACTATTTTTAAAAAAAATCATAATATTATAAATTGCCTCCCCTGCCCAGTTGTCTGCCTATCAGTTATAATGAGACTGTTTGGAAGAGATACCTGGGCAAAATAAGATATAGGTCCTAAAATATATAAATTCTAATATCCTGATTCTGTTTGCATAGTTTAGGCTGCTATCCTGAAAATGCCAGGCTGGTCTGGGGCAAAATATTAAGCTGTATGAAGCAGAGGATAAAAAGGCACCCACACTCTTCATTCCAAGTCCATAAGCCCTGGGTTGGCAACTGACTTCAATACACTGGTGACAAGATAGTGGGCTCATTCACACATTCTCCTTGCCCCAGTGCCCAAATGGCCTGCTAACTGTTTGCTGAGGACATGTCTGCACAATGGAGCTTCCATCACAGTGCCACCCTGCTGCTGATGCAGGCTGAAATTGGATCAAGGTGATCCAGCAGGAACATTGTGTTTTCCTTTGGGAAATGAAACAAGCTTTTCTCTATGCAAACATTCAGTATTATGTGGAGGAGGAACCGGAGATGACCTGCAGGGCTCCATTTGGTCTGCTCTAAGACTGCCCCCTCCCCTCCGGCTGCAGGGCTCTGTGCCTCCATGACCATTTCTACTCTGGATGTCAGAACAAACAGGACCTTCTCCAAAAATCAACTTTTTTATTCGGTCAGGGGAATATCAATCTCATGGAATATCTTGTTTGTCCTAGCTCTGGGCTCCATGCTTCTGCCCTTCCTACCTCCTCTCCTTGGAACAGCAGTGCCACCACTCTTCTCCAGACAAGTGCTCCAATCCATAAGGCATGTCACCTGCTAGATCCCAGGCAGACCAAGTGCCTGGAGCTGCCTGAATACCATGAGCTGTTGACCAAGGCCCTGGGGGCCAGAAAAGAACAGAGCAGTGGTGTTGACTCTGGCTGCAATAGTGCCAGTGCAGATTGAGAAATGGAGAGGTAGCATTTCCAGACAGCTTCTGTAGAGGAGGACTGCTGCTGCCAATCCCTGGTAAAATTGCTGCCTCAGGAAGGAGGCTGGCCATGAGGGCAGCAGCACTACTGACCTCATTCCTGAAATATGGTAAAGAAAACAACAACACCCTGATGTGATTTGGAACCAATGCACCTTCTCTTATCTTGAGGATAGAACAAAAGCATGTTGCTGGGGTGTGGAGAAGAGTCTAATGCTTAACATTCTACCTGAGGGCAGGGGCTGGTCTAAGGGCTAGGCTGTATGGAAGATACAGGTATGTCCTCCAACAACTTGCCACTCTTCCCTCCTCTGCTTTCTACTGTTTGGTGCCTCTGTCTAACAGTAGGGTTGACCTGTGTCTAAGGAGTATTATCTCCTGCAGAAACACTCATAGGATTGTGCTCTTAGAGCAGAGCTTTGTTTTGAGGGTTTCTGTATATAGAGGCCTATAGAGCTTGCCAGATGGGCCCTAAATGTAGATATGCAGCAGTCTTTCTCAAATTCAAGAGGAAGGAAAAATCAGGAAGTGCCCACTTAGCTAGTTGCTTCTGAATAACATAAACCCATGGAATATCTGAATCAATGGATCAGTAATGGTGGACAGGAGAGAGTCGTTGATTTTGCCCTGCAAACTGAGTTTCTGGCGACACAGGATGAGTAGGTCCCCAACTCAGTTTACAGAGGCCAAGCTAATGAATCCCAACATAAATGAATCCATACCCTAAAACATTCCTCAGAAGACTCTGCAGCACATTGGCAGATGTGAAGGGCAGAAAGGAAGGAGAACACTGGTCCAGGAGGGGACAGAAAAATCCTATGAGATTATTGAGAGAGGAAGAAGGCAGCAGAAAAGGAAACAAAAACCAGCAAAGAGATGGATCATGTTCATGAATCATGTAATTGAAATACAATGGTTCTTTGAAATCAGCAGAAGATCCCTATAACAGAAGATGACTAGGACAAAACCTGGAAATATCTGCATTCATAGCTGCAGCTCCACTTTTTGAGTTGTGGTTCCCAGGTGATATTGTTAAATACTGTTGGCATTAATGCAGGGACTTGCATTAGGTAACCATGTGTACCTAATATGGCAGTCTAGGTACTGATGCTCAACTATTTGGCCCTGTCCTCATAGTCTACTGCTTTCTGAGCACAAATAGTCCCTTACTTACAAACGGGTTACGTTCTGAGAGGCTGTTCGTAAGTGCAACAAGCAAAAAAAACATGCGCAGTTCACACCTTTCATAAGTGGCAGCATTGACATAGGCACTTGCGGCGATGGCGTAGGTGTTTGTGGAGATGGCATAGGCTCATCCTCTACTTTTTTCCACCTTCCTGAAAAAGTGGTCCAGTGAACTTTGGGTGGTAGTCTTCCTCTTCTCCTCATAAATGACACTGTAGCACTGGATTGCATCATGGACAGCTGCAGACACCTTGGTGAAGTGCTTCACGTTAGGGTCCTGCATATCTCAAACAATGATAGCACTTTCTCAATTAAGCTGAACCCCTCCACCATCAGCTTGGGCTGGAACCACTTTGGTGGTTCAATCTCTTCCTCTTCCTCCTCCTCCTCCTGTTTTCGCTGCTCCTCCAACTCCATGAGGTCTTCATTGGAAAGGTCCTCTGTCTGTGAAGCTAGCAGCTCATGAAAGTCCCCCTCCTCCAGGTCAAGCTGAAGCTCCTTGCTGAGGGCAACCAAGTTGCTGATAACAGCCTGCGACTCCCTTTCTGCCACCTCAAGCTCACGAGAGTCTTGAACGAACTGAGGGCACAGACATTTACATACCCAGTTCATGTTCGCAGGGGTAATCTCACACCAGGCTGCATTGATGTTCTTGATGGCCTTGTAGATGTCATAGGACTTCCAAAACTAGCACTAGGTCATCTGTGAGTCCACTTTGGTTGCCTGGGCTGCCTGCCTAAACATGGGCCGAAGATAGTATTTTTTGAAGGTTGCTATCACTCCCTGGTCCATTGGCTACAGGAGGGAGATGGTGTTGAGAGGCAGACACACAACCTTCATGTTCAGATGGAAATTGTCCAAGTAAGGAGGATGACCTGGGGCATTATCCAATATCAGCAGAATCCTGAACTCAATATTTCTCGTGTGGCAGTACCTCTCCACTTCCAGGATGAAATGGTGGAAAAACCAGTCCTCAAAGATGACAAAGGTGACCCAAGCTTTCTTGTTAGCCTTCCACACAACAGGAAGTGAGCTTTTTGAGATGTTC